GCAAATAATAGAGAATTAGTAGGACAGTACATAGTTAGAAGACAATTGATAACATTAATAAAGGAGCTCTCTTCTACCTCAGACCCCACTGGCACAGCGGTATGTCTGCAGACTTACGATGCTAGAATCCAGGTTTCCATACTCGTGGTGGGTAGAGAGAGAACAGATAGCCCAGTGTGTTGCTTTGTGCTTAACTTCAAACAAACAAAGAAACAAAACTCTTCTACCTCCTGCGTCGTAACTGGCCTCCACATGATGGGTTAAGACCTGTCGGTGCAATCCTTGAGATTGTTATCCAATACTCAACTCATTTAAGATATTATGGGATAAGATAAAGTAAAATACAAAAGAACACTTTTGAATTACATACTAAGCACTACACGCAAAAGAGACCACGAAGTCAAAATATAAACTTAAAGATTTGATATTTTGTACTAGTGGCAAAATAAAATAACGTGTATCCTTTCCAGTTAGCCGAAAATTTAGTTTTAGCTTACAGGGAAAATTCATTCCCATTGCCAATTAAATAGTAGGTTAACTTTTGTTTAAAATGTTTCTTGTTTTTGCTGATATTTTACGCCCTTAAATATTTGTCGTTGCCAACACTGTTAGTTATATCTTTTGTTCTGAAAGAAAAGGATGCAATTATTTTATATTAGCCAGAATTAATAATCGCAGCTGTAATACTATGTAAAAGTACAAACATATTTACGTATATGTACTGCAAAACCCTTATCATTTTAAAAAGCACGTAGGATCACAGGAAAGAAAGTGATGAAAAAAATCCTAATCTCTTGCGTTTTTGTAAAGTGCACCTTCTACTTTCAGGGGTGAGTGGCGAAATGAGCAACTGTAAGGTAATATCAGTAATATTTTGCAATTCTACAGGAAAAATTCACAATAATACTTCATTCTATTGCAAGGTTCTGTGTATGTCCTTTCAGTAGCAGCCAATGGTACGAAATTTTTTACCTCCATTTCTGGGTTTTATAGTCATTTAATGACATAGAAATAAAAAGACAGTGTATGTTTGTTTGTTTTTAATTATGCACAAAGCTACAGAAGGGCTATCTGTGCTCTGCCCACCACGGGTATCGAAACCCGGTTTCTAGCGTTGTAACGCTTTAACATTTTTAGTTTTCGATATAAATAAATATATATATACACAAATGTGTCCTTTAAGAATGCTTTACTTTTACCAAGAGATCACTGTAAGATCAATATAAAAAAAGGCTCATACCAATAACCTAGACTATGCCTAAAAATATTACAGTTTGTTTGTAATTAAGTACAAAGCTACACAATGGGCTATCTGTGCTCTGCCCACCACGGGTATCGAAACCCGGTTTCTACCGTTGTAAGTCCTCAGACATGCCGCTGTGCCACTGGGGGGGCAAAAAAGACAGTGTAGTATGTGAAATCAGATTTCAAAGGTGCTATAAGATAACTAAAACATTCAACGTATCTTCAGATTTCAAAAGTAACAAAAAATGGAAGACCCTTCAACCAATGTACTGTATTTCGTTACTATATCCTGAAGATTGCTTTATTAAGTGGTAAGAGTGGGCTTACAGCTACCATATACTAGTTTATTGTCCATCCAGCTTCCGAAAGCAAATGATACTAGATTGTTTCAGAAAATCATATTTGTCATAGCTTATTGTAAAAAAATGAAAAGAACTACAAGCAAAATAGTTACAAGTTTGAAAAATGAAATGAAGAAACAGCAAACAAAATAGTTACAAGTTTGAAAAATGAAAAATGATGAGAAGAAACAGCAAACAAAATAGTTACAAGTTTGAAAAATGAAAAATGTTGAGAAGAAACTGCAAGCAAAATAGTTACAAGTTTGCTTTTTGCAGACGAGTAGGTTAGTTTCATGATCTCAATTATTTTACAAACCTGTTAAGGTATGACACGAGGTCATTGAGTGGTTTATGAATAACTGGGTTTGAATAATGTCTATTTCTGTCTAACACATTCCGTGATCAGTTGAAAGTGTTTATCTCCCGGTCTTCTATTCTGAACTACCTCTGCCTAATGCAGGAATTTTGTCCACTCCTATTAAGTATCATTGACTGACATATAGTCTCATCGATCTTATACCAAATTATTTTCTTAATCAATGTGTAATTTCCATGTTGCTGGCAATTAATAAAGGCCCGAAGGTGAAATATGTCGAAGTTGTTAAGCTGACCAGCAGGATATCCCTTTTAGCAAGGCAATATAAAGAACCTCTTTGTATTCTATGGCTCTTGTTTTCTTACTGTAGTATAGGCCTACTCGGTCAGATGGGATCGTCTAATGTGATGTGGAGAAATTCCTTTTATATATTATTATGTGTCTGGTCGTTACCATGGATTCTGAAAGTTATGGATATGAAGCCGTATAGGGTGATAAAAATAATTTTTAACCTAAACTTCCGATCTTTTGGTTTGTTCTAATAATCATTTACATGTTCTTGTAAATAATTGGTGCATACTACTAAGGGACTTGAAGGTTAAATATGTCAAACTTGTTAAGCTGGTTAGCAGAAAACCCGTGTTTAGCCAGTATTGGCCATGCTTTTTATAGATATCTTCAACAAGACAGAGAATAAAATTTCTGAAAACAAAATATTATTTGGATTTGCACATCCTCTTTTTATTAGTTTAGTGGAAGAGTATGTCTGTAAAACATGAGTGCTTGGAAATGGATAGATGCCTTCATCAGTATTAGGTGTTTCATCTCTATAGGCTCTAATGTATAGATTTAGCTCTATAGGAGCCGTAGTAACTAACCTAGATTACAACCACCTGTTGAATGAAAAGAAGACGAAATTTTTGTTTCCATTCTGAGGGCTTTAGTGTAGAAACCGAAACGTCAACCTCTTTTCATTCAATAGGCAGTTGCAGTCGATTAATGTTGTCAAAACCACTATGTCTACTGTACCTAAAATCCGCTGAAACAACATTATATTTTGTCACACTTACACGCATCCATTTACCCGTTTCCATTACGTCAAATTATAATAGTAACTATTCATTTCTTATCTATAAGCACACTGATCTCAACCATTTCTCCATCACCTATCTTTTATTACATGATTATCCCTTATCATGGGGGTAAAATGAAAGATGTATAAAACCTGCATCTGAAGTGTAGAGATTATATCCATTTTCGCATTGAGCTACACTTCATTTGTTTGTTATCAAACACAAAGTTACAGAAGGGGCTACCTATGCTATGTCTACAACAGGTATCTAAGCCCTATTTTTAACATTATATGCCTTCAGACTTACTGCTAAGCCATTGTGAGAAAATCAAGAGTATATAATCGTTATCTGCTTTCAGGTTTTTGGTTCTTTCATATCTCCATTATGTAGTTGACTTCTGCAGTCTGGATCAGAGACCATAATAAAACACAGTCAGCACCCTAATAATCTGCAAACACACCGTCTAGGGTATAAAATGGGTCTCTCCGAAAGCTCCTTTGAACATCAAACATCATTGGTCAAAGAAATGCAGACGTTAATTATCTTTTTTGATGGTTTACTGTTTCACAGACAAAACATTTATATTTACCTTTTGCGGTATCGACTGATCTAGGTTGCTGAAGTCCTTGTTTTATTGAATTAATGTACTTTCTTGTTACATTTTCTACCTGCTAGTGCAGGTCAGGTTAAGTTATAAACGATAGATTGTACTTTGACTACTGCTCAGACTTTCTTCTCTCAGCTCTGATTTTTACGATACTAACACTTTTTCCTCATCATAGTAACTTAAGCTTATGCAGAGTGGTTGCTGTAATAGCTTTCTTTTTCTTCCATAAAGTTCCCAAGATGTCACATAGCAGTGCAATTCATTAACATACCATACGCGTTACTATGAGCATCATAACTATAAAATATGATATTTACCTCCCTTTGAAGCCTTCTTTCAAGCTTTTTCAACGTAGACAAATATATCATAATAGTAAAAAAACAAAACCTATACACAGTGTACACGATAGAATAAATTCACATGTACCAATAACAAATGATAAAACTTATCTTATGTGGAACAGAAACTATAGGGTGTATGTTTGTTTGTAGTTAAGCAAAAAGCTACACAAAAGGCTATCTGTGCTCTGCCCACCACGGGTATCGAAACCCGGTGTCTAGCGTTGTACATCCGCAGACATACCGCTGTGCCACTGGGGGGGGGGGGCTATAGGGTGCATATGCATACATATTTATCTGAAGATATGCCTCCTGTAGTTCTTTAGATTCCTTGTCTTTATGAAATTCTTGCTTTATTTGTCTTTGGTTTAGTTTATGTTTGAACATGTGTTTCACTTCAAGTCAGTCTCAGCTTTGACGGTTATTATGAACATGTTTATACTTTTCTTCTAAATCTAAACGAACATACCTAAATATATTTTACGAATAAATAATGAACAAATACGCACGCGTGAGTACGCATACAAAATAAAGAATTTTATATATTCATTGTCTTTAAAAAATATACACATCAAAGTTGTATGGTAAATTTCTTTTATTGGCAAGCTGTGTACATCTGTATACCAGCATTGAAACAAAGTTTGTGTTAAAGTATCGTTTCTCTTTGTCCCTGTGGCACAGCGGTATGTCTAAAAGTTTTTAACGCTAAAACTAGAAAAAAAAAAAAAAAAACAGGTTTCAATACCCATGGCAGGCACAGCAATAATAGTGAAAGTTTACGCTTAACTACAAAAACTAATAAGAAAAAAATAAAATGGCTTTCTTTACACTGCTATCCGATATACAGCTTAAGAACGTTATATTTCGGCTGAGTCCAGCAACTGATCTGTGGAATTGATTAAGCTGCAAGAAACAGTTATAAGTTCACATCTGATAAACGTAAAAACAGACAGCGTACTCGCTAACAGCTTTTTATACGTACGGTTAGGTTTTATATTGTGCACCATATGTAGCTGTGAAGTTGTTTTCAGTTACAAATATACACAAAATTAAAGGTTGCATTTGTTGCAACTATTGCAGAGAATCTACAATAATATGGCGAATGAAGAAGAGTTCCGCTTGGTTCCATTATCCAAGAATCTTGTGGGCATGAAAATTTACAACAATTCCGAAGCGCTTAAGAGAGGTAGGAATAGATAATAATCTCGTATATATCTTAAACAATATATATCTCAAGTATTCTAAAAATTAAAATCGAAGTATAAATATGAAATTTCCGATATTCTGAAAGTATTTCTTAATTTTATAATAAAATGTTTAAAGTAATTTCAATACGTAGTGAATATTGAATATGCAAAAACTATAGATTGAAATTACTCTAACAAGGTAACAATATTATCAAGTGTGACATTTCTATATTATATTTTAGGCAGTGTTCTTTACCCTCGTAGTAAAGAATCAAGAAGCTCAACCAGCTTTCAGTTTCCGTCAGGTGGCGCACCTGTGACAAAAAGCATTGCAATAGTGCGTATTATTTTTTAAATATATATATATTTAATTTAAAAGTAAAGTATTTAAATTACTTCTAATGATTTCTTTTAAGTTTAGGAAATAGTAGCGCTATTTAGTAAACTAATAAACTATGTTATTCTTAATTAATTAATTAGATTTTTTATTAAAAAAGTAAAATCCCACTTTAATATTAAAAATGTATAATGATTAAATCATATTTGTTGTCATTATTTATTACATTTCGAATAGGTAAACGAATATGGTTGCGTACTTAAATATTTGTTTAATATTAAAACGTGAAATTACATCGGCTAGCTCAGAAAGGTTACTTAAATATAGGGTGCTTAAGAACAAATATTTTCATTGAAAAACCTAAAATACATGCTGTAATTAAACCCTAAACCTTTATAGGCAATTTCTATCTCATGATTTAACATACTTAGAATTTCTAACCAATAATCGACCGGCTTAAATGATTTTGTTTCACAAATGCGGAATCCCAGAATCTGTACATAAGTCAATTTTATGAAACCTCCCTTCATTATTACATTGTGAATGAAACTGGCATTTATGATACATTTCGAAAAATATACTAAACACCCAAAAATGTAAAAAAACGTTCCAAAAGATAAATCAAACAATGCAAAAAAAGGAACAATTCTTGTAATGGTTGATAACATTTTTTCTTCTTTTTTTTTAAATAATTTCTTGTCATATAACTGAAATGTTCAAGTCATGGGTGCGATTATTTTCCTGCCTTTCTATAAATTGTAAACAGAATATTTTGTTTGTTTGTTGTTAACCAACTGTACGTTGTCCACCGCGGGTATCGAAACCCAATATTCAGCGTTATAAGCCCCCATACTTTCCGCTGAGCCAACGGGTGGCACAGAATTTATATAACTCGATTTATCGTGGATTAATGAAATATGGAGAGAAAAACTTACTCTTATTGAAATATTAAATTATTTTTTGTTAGGTGTAAATCTAAGGTTAAAAGCAAGTTTTTATATCGTTAAAAAAATTAAAACACTTATATTAAGTAGCTTTCTCACAAACGTTTATAGGCGCTTAACTCGCTATCACTGATTATTTGTTTGTTTGTTGTTAAGCGCAGAGTTACACAGTTGGCTACCTATTCTGTGCCCACCACGGATATCAGAACCCGGTATTAACGTTATAAATATTCAGACATACCGCTGAGCCACTGGGGGTGGGAAAGGGTGCAATCACTGTGAAATTATTGTTTCATTTGAAGCACTGTCAATCTTATGTTCCTTGAAAATACAATCATCAATAAAACTCAAAAGAACATAGTCATAACGAGTGTTCGGAAAATGTTATTAAAAATACAAAAACGTGAAAAGGGCTAGCGAGCATCCATTCGTTTAGAAGAAGCAGCTAAAAGTCCATATAAATAAATTCAGTCCCTATGAGTGAAAATGCTTAAAAGTGTACATAGTTGGTGAAGTTAGTGAAAAATAAAGTGCTTGCAAAGTGTTATCGAAAGTCCAAGTTTTTGGGGAGTACTGGTGAAAATCCTAATATTCAAAAGGTGTTGAAGAAATATCAAACGTTTTGAAATGTTAGTAATGTATAGTGAAAGACACATTGAGATCTAAAGTGCTTCAGGTAGAAATTATGTTTAAAAGTATTAGTGAAAAATAAATATTTTAGATTGTGTTAGTGCCAGTTCAAATTTTTGAAGGCAATTATAGTATCAGTATAATGCTTGATAAGTGTTATTGAAAGATCGTACATTTGAAAAAGAGTTTGTAGAAGTTCAAGTGTTTAGAACCTGTAAGTGAAAGGTCAAAAGGTTGATAAATGTTAGGGTAAGCCTAACTTCATGGAAAGTTTTAATGAGAGGCAATGGGTAAAGTTCACTATTTTGGGTGCACAGTAAACGGTAAAATAAATTACAAGCTAATAATATATAATATAAATTACAAGCTACTAATATATAATATAAATTACAAGCTACTAATATATAATATAAATTACAAGCTACTAATATATAATATAAATTACAAGCTACTAATATATAATATAAATTACAAGCTACTAATATATGATATAAATTACAAGCTACTAATACTTGATATAAATTACAAGCTACTAATATATAATATAAATTACAAGCTACTAATACATGATATAAATTACAAGCTACTAATATATAATATAAATTACAAGCTACTAATATATGATATAAATTACAAGCTACTAATATATAATATAAATTACAAGCTACTAATACATGATATAAATTACAAGCTACTAATACATGATATAAATTACAAGCTACTAATATTTTATTTTAGAACTTGACCGTTTTCAAAAAGTTGTTGTACTATTATTTATTTGAAAAGGTTGACTTACCAACTTACTTGTATCAATGTATTTTGTCACGCATAAAATGGAAGACATAATGCGTTTATTACATACGCGTTATTAGACAATAATCTAAACCCTTATTGGATAAAAGTCTGTGTATGTTTGTGTATCTGCTTATAACTGACGAGCTGTTGGACCGACTGTCACCACCCTGTCCCTCCTCTGTGGAATGATATCGAGGTTTGGCTTTACGATTCGATCCTTATATGTCATTCTCCAAGGTGACTCTATCTCTTTCCCCTGCATTGTGTCTTTTTATAAGTGATGAATCGTTTAATTGATTGTTACTATGCCTGGAATGAACCCTTAGGGCTACCCAGGGAGTGATATGGGAGCGGTTGACGTTCGGATCTGACCCTCCATGTCACTCTTGGGGTAACCTATGTCTTCCCCGTGCGTTGAATTAGTATGTTAGTTAGTATGATTTAATTACAATCAGGTTAAAACGTTTTTCCATTTTAAGAAATTCCAGATTATTTAACTTACTAGTATCATACAACTCACCTAAGAACTAACCTAAGAACTTTAATCATACTTTATATAGTAACGTTATTAGGATCATGTAAACACATATTGTAAAGTACACTATATATTTCTTTATGTAAAATAAACTGATCATGTTGTGTGGTAGGTGATTGCTTTTATTCCTATAAAAATAGTATCTTGATTAGTCTGGGGGGACAATGGGTAAGAGCTAACATCTCTTTGGTTTTCAAAGATAGTAGGTGCCCGTCCAGCACTAGTACCGAATTGAAAACGTGGCCATACCCTTGGTAACTAACAGACTGAGGGCAAAGTCGAATGAATAGGCTTGTAAGGTGCTACAGAGATCTGACATCAATTGACCGATTTCATCAGCGGTGGTCATGATTCGACGATTATGAACTGTATTATGGAAAACTGTAATGTGGCAGCTGACAACAAGCCATAAAACCACATTTCAGATATAAACAGCAAAGCAGGGCTTCAGTGATGTTTAGAGCTTACACTCTGGACAATGAAATATTGGAGACATAGTGAGACCGAAAGAGCTACGTTTTACCTTTAATGTAGTGATTGAAGAGTAAAAATAACATCAGGCACTTGAACCTGCTTGCACATTGGCAGTATTACTTGTTGGAGGTGGCATAATAGGATGGGGCAGGGGGAAACGTTTTTTTGAAACAGGTAATGGATTGATTTTTTTATTCGTGGTGTTTAAATTCTAAGCACATATCTTTTCCAGTTCTTGTAACCCCTTTAAAGTCAATATATATTGAATATCTAAACATTTTTAGAACCTAAACGCTTATTTTATGTGATCAATTAGAATAAAGAGTTCTTTATATATATATATATAAACGTTCGTATCAATGCGATAAACATAAAATAAAAACAATAACACTTAGAATACAAAATAAACTATTGAAAACAAGTTTTTGTCCTATATTTTGGCTGCCGTTTCCATGAAGTCCAGAGAAGGACTATTTTCTATGTTATTATTAGTAGCCGGTATTCAGTATTGCGTTTTATTGATGGAAGTTTAGGGTTTCTTCCATTAGGAAGTTATGTGCAAAGTATGTAAATTTGATTATCTTTGAGATGAACTTGAACATCGTGTATATGTGTGTGTGTATCTATTAGTATTTTACAAGTTTTTATGTAAATAAAAAGTGTATTTGTATAAGGTAGGTGAATTTATGAATTATTACTAGAATTAAGCCTATTAATGGTAACACAAACAGTGATAAACTGACTATAAGTTACAAATTAAGTATAGTTGAAAATATAGTAAAACAGAAACTCTAGCTGTACCAAACTATATAGGGCCTGGCATGATCAAGTGGTTAGCGTGCCGTGTTTTGGATAGTCGATCGGCGGAGCCGAAGTTCGAGCCCCAAGATTCCACTAAAAACGTTTGGCACTTTCATTAGGCCCGGTATGGCCAGGTGGTTATGACGCTCGACTCGCAATCTGAGGGGGTCGCGGGCTCGAATCCTCGTCCCACCAAACATGCTCGCCCTTTCAGCCGTGGGGGGCGTTATAATGTGCGGCCAATCTCACTATTCGTTAGTAAAAGAGTAGCCCAAGAGTTGGCGGTGGGTGGTGATGACTAGCTGTCTTCTCTCTAGTCTTACACTGCTAAATTAGGGCCGGCTAGCGCAGATAGCCCTCGTGTAGCTTTCGCGAAATTCAAAACAAACAAACAATCAAAACAATCTACTTTCATTAAATAACACGTGAGCTAGTCTTCTTTCAGGATTTTTGAAACGTTCTGTTTCCTGAGATGAACTCGATTTCAGCAGTTATAGTCTGGTGTTGATTTTCCGTACATTGTAAACTACAGTCACGTTCTGGCGTTCATTTTCATATATACTGTAACCTGCAATCACCCTGCGTTAGCGATTTACATGCACTGCAAACCATAGTCACATTGTGGTGTTGACTTCCACATTCTGCAAACTGTAAGTCACATTTGGTGTTGATTCCCACATGCTGCAAACTGTAAGTCACATTTGGTGTTGATTCCCACATGTTGCAAACTGTAGTCAAATTATGGTGTTGATTCCCTTATAAGCTAAATTGCATTCATCTTATGTTCTGTGTTAGGCTTATGGTTTAGCCTTATGCTGTGCACTATATTATAAGCAACTGAATGCCGAATTTAGAGCTTATTTTATTTCTTTAACGTAAAAAAATAAAATAAATGCATTAGTCAACTTGATTTTTAGCATGTTTGTCACATATGAAGAAATAACGATAAGTGGTTTTAAATATTTTTAGAATGAAACCGAAGATATAAATTTTCCAAAAGGTAAGATTTAGTGAGGTTAGGCTGCGAATAGATAGTTTTTAAACTAATTATCATTGTTTTTACATCCAGGCAAAACTTTATGCATACTATATTCACGTCTGATTATATTTACTAAGTTTGTATACTTTCTAAATTCAAAACAACTTCACTAGAAACTACAATTACTCCTTTAAAACGTTATCTCTGCATAACAGTCCCCAGTGAGTCAGTGGTTTGTTTACGAACTTAAAGCACTAAAATCCGGGGTTCGATCCCTCGTGGTGGTCAAAGCTCAGATAATCTATTGTGCAGCTTTGTTCTAAAACAAAGCATAAAAACTGCATAACAGCATTTAATTCCGTCTTTTTCGCATTAGTCTATTATATATGATTGTCCGCGTGCTCCAGTTACTGCGTGATACCAGAAATTTCCACAATTCTAACAATAATTTTATAGGAACGATGTCATGAAAAAGCTAATGATGTTTGTTTTTCTGTAGTCTTTACGGACATTACTATTTGGTGGAAGCACTTATGTTGGAAATCAAGAGTGGATGAAATCACACCTGGTTTTTCGTGAGCCTGGTTCTGTGTTTGGTTATGGTCTCGTGACATCTAAAGTAAGAATATTACCACTTTTATCGTAAAAAGCGTTAATGCAAATGAGTCAAAAAACTAGAACATAGTTCAGAAGAGTTTTAAATTTGATCGTTATATTTTTTAGTGTTATAATACTATATACATTTAGAAATCACATTGTGTGTAGCCATTAGTAATATTATCTTTTGAACTGACATTTATTTTAGAGTTAGCTAGTGTAAAAACATTTTTCATTGACATAATAATATTAGAAAAGCAGTCTGTTTTAATGTTTTTCTATTTAGTGTGACCAATTATTATCTAAAGTTTTACTAGTTATACACTTATAAAAAAAAATGAAGCTATTTAGCTCTTTAGCTACAAATAAGAACTTCACATCTAATGACACAAATAAGAAACGATAGGTTTCACAAATTATTTATAACGGCTAATTTTAACTTTAATTGTTTTTTAAAATTAAAAAAAAGGAGAATGAAGTTAAATTTAATCTTGGTGTCAGAAATGAGTTAAAGGAAAAAAATAAAACGGTTTTATAATATGTTTCTGCCAGTGCAAGATTGTTTCGTATATGTTAGTTGAGTATCAAATAAATGGCAGTTGAAAACATATGTATCTTGTAGATGCGTGACCTTATCTGTATGACTCTTTCGAAATTTTCCTGGTCTAAGTGGATAGTGCTATCAATCCATTAAGATGGAATAGAATAATTGTTCTAATAATATAAAATAAGGAACTTTATTATGCCATACGTAGTTGGTAATGACGTCAGGGGAATTAAATCTGCTTATAACGAAACATTTATATAACATTGAAAATGTGGAACATATTAGATACTCTAGAAATATTAAAAATGTATCAAACAAACATTTAAACGAATCACCTTTCTTCTCCGTACATTATTTTGGACAACAGAAAGACTTGTTATATGTCTATTAGTCACTAGACTGTATTATACATAAATTCTTATAAGAACTAGTGTTGTGTATTGTTTACCATTATATATATATATAAAACTGTTACAGGAAACGCTCAAAAATCTCTTTTGAACATCGGTAGGTCTTTTGTAGATTACTTTTCTCTAGTTTAAATTGTTCCATCATATCAGTTTCTAAGTAAGTGAAATAAAAGGAAAACAAATTTAATTCAATGCTATATTTAAGTTATTATTTCATTAACAACCTTAAAAGAACATAAAATACTTAATAGAAAATAAGCACTTTATATAATAGTCTGGATCTGAAGTATAAATATGTATGGACAGGAAAAATGGAAAGACATAACATGTCATTTGTATACAAACATTTAGAATACAATGATTAATCGTTTCTTTGCTCCGCTTCTTTAGGGCAATCCCGGGTCTGTGATCATGTGTGTACAAGCCTACATCTTGAAACATTTGTTGTTTAATAAAAAAGACGCATCTCCAGGGTCGTCGCGGGACAGGTGAGACTGAAGTGGTTTTTATATACCGTTGGTTCACATAAATAAATTTCTTGATAAAAGGCATGATTTAAGATAGAATTATAAGTAAATATAATAAAGTCCTGTGAGTCAAAGAATGCAAAAAACAAGAACAAATGGAAACCACGAGGTTTAAAAGTAAAATATAGAACACAGTTTACAAACAGTTGATCTGTCTTTGGAGTGACAGTCGGCGTATAAGCTTCTCGATCAGTTTTCTAATCTGTTGTATACCTGTTCTTATGTTGATGGTGTCTCAGGTATCGTAGTATAGTCCTGTTTCAGTTGTGGTTATGGTTTACTGATGTTATACAGTCAGTGTTTGAGCTTCTCAATCAGTTGTCTAATCTGTTGTATACCTGGACTTATATTGATGGTGTCTTAGGTATCGTAGTATAGTCCTGTTTCAGTCGTGGTTATGGTTTACTGTTATACAGTCAGTGTTTGAGCTTCTCAATCAGTTGTCTAATCTGTTGTATACCTGGACTTATATGTCTTAGATGTCGAAGTATAGTCCTGTTTCAGTCGTGGTTATGGTCTATCATTGTTGTAGGTATTATTTCATAGACCTATCTCAGACGTAGCTTTGGCTTGTCAATATTTAGTAGCTAGTTTACAACTGATCATGTATTTGGTTGATACCTGCAAAATTAAGCTTTTTTAAAGAAACTTGTAGGAGGAAAGAGATGGACTTAGATGAATTAAACAAAACTTAGAGCAATGTTTAATAAAACAATGAACAAACTATTTTATAGAAAATCAAACAATAACAAACAACCAGACTTAAATATCTTGCTTATTAAAATGTATATAATATAAAGAATGTGTACACAAGTATCTAAGTTTTAATGTATTCAAAAATGATGATCAAGTGTTATGGACCTGTTTCTTGTTCTAATGCTCTATGTGATTGCCTGCTTTTTTATGATAGTCCTGAAGCGATGTTTTCATGAGACCATGATATTTAGGAGAACAGATATGTCGCTGTTAATACAACCCTCTTGTGAAGCTTTTCATAAATCAACTAAACTATTAGATTTACTAGTTCCAAGAGCAAGCCTTATTATATTTCAAATTTTCTAGCTATCTTTCTTGTAAAAATATCCGTTTGTTCCGAGATAAGGCTGGAAGCTTGTGAACTTTCGCCTTTAATGAGCTCTTATGTACTTCAAATCCTTGTTTATTATATTGTTAGCAATATTACGTGGTATGTCCAGATCCTTAGAATAAGCAACCAGGAATTCAACAAATACATTCCTTTTCTGTAAACTTGAACACAAAATACCCAATAATGGTAAGGTATAATGTGTTAAATATATTTGCTTTACTTAAACAATAAAAGAACAAACAACAATATTTGACTTTCGCGTAATTTGCAAAACGTACAGATGGAGTGCAAGAACAGTTAAACATTATTTTTCGTCGTATATAACACACACACACAAATCAGGTGAATGTTTTAAGTCTATACATGGGCTTGGTAGTTTTACTATAGGCTACTTATATATAATAACATTAAATAACTATGTAAGAAATACAACACAAAGCTTTGTGTATACTCTAAGTCATAAAAGTAAAATAAGAATTAATTGCTTAGCATATTATGCATATAGGACACAGTGGAACTAAAAACCTTTTTTTTTCTAATTGTACATATCATTATGTATAGCATAATTATAGCTTTAAATGTTTCTTAGTAAGAAGTCTGTGTAGTTATTTGATTCAATAATACTGTACAGTGGCGAGCTATGTTAAACAGATGACCTTGAGAGTAAACTTTGATCTATGTCTTTAGTACGTGGCTACTACACTTATAGCGGAATGAAGAGTTTAATTCAAAGCTTGCGGCTAAAAACAACAGTATACATATTTCTATTCATAAACAAACGTAAATCAAGGAGCATTAAGAGTTATGAGTTGAACATTTTTATGGATCTACTAAACCTATGAACAAGATCAATTAACTGATGTACATGCACAAGAGGATGTAATAGAACATCGATTATTTGTTCATATTACGAGTGACAAAACTTGTGACTTTTTAAATTAATTAATGTGAATTATATTGTTCTCTTTCGTCTTCTGGTGTGAGAAAAACTAGTTCTAACCAGAACTAGTTATAGAGAAGAACTGATACAGTTGTATATCTAATTCATAGTTTTAATAAGAAACATTTCCTTTAAAGGTTAAATGAGTTACAATATATGTAATAATTAACTGTTAGCTATAGCTAACACGTGTTAAATATGCGATAAAACGATCAAGTACGAAGCAAAGAAAATATTAACATAATCATTTTCATGTACATTAAGCTTCATATTGAAAGATATAGACAAAATGAAGTTTCAGTGTGCTTATCAAACTTTCTTTGTATATGGCTGATACAGTTATGTACCGAGCATTTAACTGGATTATTTTAATTGACAGTTTATTCATATACTTATAAAACATGATGAGGTTTTGAAGATATACAAATATTTAAACTGCAGCATCTGACTTGCTAATTTTTAATCCACACAAGAACAAAAAAGTTATTTATCTCAAACTAATTACGATTCAGTATTATTAAGGCTTGGTTCCAAATGCCTATTTAATAAAATATCCTTTATTCACTACGTTCTTTCGTTCTCTGCTAAACAGAGAATGCTGAAGTATTTATCGCAAGGTGTCTCATTACACATGTTATTGAAATGTATATGAATACCTATTTTTTATAGTAATACAAGAATGACTATTACTCACTCCGTTCATCATCTTTTTTCCATATTTCTCTTTCAATCTCTTACCTTTATCAAATAAGGCCTTACCATAGTTTTCATTATTCCTTCTACCTCCTGTAAAACAAACCCCAAAATTAAATTTATCTAACCTCTTCTTGGTGGATGAAGAAGGATTCCCGTCCCTGAACAACCTTGGTGGAACCCTTCATCCCAAAATGTCCACTTTTGCTTTACTTTAATCATTTCCTTCATTCTGTTTGAGATGTTCTTTGATTTAAGCCGCTAGGTGGCGTACAGTAGAACAAACATAAACCTATTAACAATATGCACACGTAAGTATGTAAACAACGTCAAGTTTCATTTAACATTGCAACTGTTTAACATAGATAATTTCTTTTCAGACACAATGTACTACTATATTAAGTGTTAAAAACAGAAACGACGTTTTTTGGCACAATGAAAGATAAAATCTTTATTAGATATTTCAGGCAATTAATTTTGGTAACACAATTACTAAATATAGATTTTACTTTTCATTGTGCCGAAAACGTCCTTTCAGTTTTTTACTTTTGATAATTAACATGGAGATAAAGAAAAGTTCATATTCTTGACCTGAACCCATGAAACCTTCGTAGGACAGCCTAGTTCTTTAACTGTTAATTCTGACAAAGACTCTCGCTTTACTAAGCCTAGTTTGATATTTTTTCTGAATCCTTTTTATGAAATCAATCCGACATTTTTAGTTCACTTGTCCATAACCGTCTTGATCAAACCAACATCATTCTTTTTTTTCGAGAAACATCTAACCTAAGCCACATTGCAGCTCTTTCGAGCAACGCCCCCCAGTGGCACAGCGGTATATCTGCGGAATTACAACGCTAGAAACCGGATTTCGATATCTGTGGTGGGCAGAGCACAGATAGCTCATTGTGTGGCTTCAAACAACAACAACTTTTGAGCAAAACTGTGACATACAACCATAGAAATATCAACAAATACTAACACCACAGAAAAACAAAATAGTGTGTTTGACAGCTGCAACAAAAAAATTAGAAAATGAGAGAAATTTTGCATTATTAAAAATAATCATATCAAACGTACATAAAGATAATGCGTTGCAAAACATAAGGATGTTAGCTGCTAAGGTATGAAGTCTATACATATATATATAGTACCGAAAGTTTATATTAAATATCATACTACACAGCAGGTTATCCAACTCACGTGCACCTCAATAAGTTTATTAGAGGTTTTATACCTGTGGTATGCATTACAACATTTCCGGAATATCTTTCTCACACATCACTCTCTGTCATGGAAGCTTTTTTGTCTCCAAACATATTAAATTTATAAACTACACACTTTTAATTAGAATGTACACGGATATAGTGTTAATATAACCATATGAACAAACACGGTTTCAATTACTAGAGGATAAAAAAATACTATATCATTATTGTAGGAGAAGTTTACTACAGCTACTAGTTTGAAATACAGTCTTGGCCAAAATGTTTGCATACTGTTCTATATTGATGTTATTGTCTACATACATGAAGTAGTTATTGAGTAAATGTCATATAGTAACAGAGAAGGTAGCGTATGATCGGACAAACTTGTACCAGTTGTTATTCTGGTCTGTATAAGTTGTTTTGAGCATTTGTTCGCCGAAACACCCATACACACCTGTATTGTGTAAAAGAGTGTGCTTTTGGTATAATCTTTTTGGAAACAGATCAACGATTTCTTCAGACAATTTCTCTGTACTTGATGTAGAGTCATGCCTCGTCACGTGCCAAATGTTGTAGGGCGTCAAATTGTTCGACTGTCCAGAAATGGTATGAAGCAAACGGACATCGCAAGAACAATAGGGTACCTCCAGTGTACTGTATTCAGAATCCTGAAACGTCATCGAACTTTGTTTCAGGAAAGTCTACTGGTAAATGCCGAAAAACTACTACCGGAGATGACCGTATTTTGATCAGGTTAACACGTTATGGTCGAAAGAAGTCTTGCAACATCTTACGACAGGAATGGTATGAACACATTCATTCGATGAACAGTGAGCAGGAGACTGAACAAACATGGTTATTTTGCAAGAAGGACTATCTGCAAATCGATATTACCCAGAATTCACCGCTGTCACCGTGTTACTTGGGCAAGACAACATACCAACTTACAGTTAGAACACTGGCGACATGTCATATTTTCGGATGAGTCCTGTTTCCGACTTGTTAAAGCTTGGATTCTTGTTCGTCGTTAGCT